AAATATATACCCTGAAATCGGATTAAGCGTATATATGGTAGCTATATCGAATACTTAGCTGTTCTCGATAAAACTAGGCAAAGGTATTTCCGAGCAAGACCTTATTCCCATGATTCGAGTAATAATTCTATAGTAAATAAACCTGCTAAAATCTATTATTTAAAGAAAATATCTCATAAGAACCTTTATTTGTAGGCACTAAGTATAAGTTTTTCTATAACTGTTAAGATCTGAAAAAAGTGTTTTGTCTATTACAGAACTTTCAGATGTCTTCATTCCGTAAAAGACCTTCTTCAGAAAGTCTGTAAATGATCTCCAAGCTAAAGAGCACTTGTAAAATTTCAGTATCCATGTATGACCTCTAAACATTTGTCCATCTATAGAGTACCTCCAAAGCTCCTATATACAAAAGTTTGTCTCTGTATAAAATAGTTTTATAGTTTTCTACCTATTTTCTACAGAATACCCGTTATCGTTTTTATTTCTCAAAAGGATTGTAATAGATCATTTGTGTATATATAAAAATACTATAAAATTATTATTATATAAATTTTGACTACCAAGGTAATTTTACCTAGAATTTGTAAAAAAAATATGTCTCAAAGACCCACACAAGAACACCATCCACAAAAGTCTTGTAGAACAAATGTTTTTTTATACCTACACTACGTGGTGGTAAGGGTATTATGTCTTTGTGCATTTGTTTGTAACATGGAGAAGGAAGCAAGATAGACCCATAGTTACTTTTGAGAATCTCAGTCCGTCTGTCCGTCCGTCCGTCTGTCCATGTATTCTTGTGAACGAAATGCAGGTTGCACTTATGATCCGATTGAGATGAAATTTTCCAAACAACATTTGTTTGGCCCAAGGACGAACCCTATTGAAATTGGAGATAATCTGTAAAAATTTAGATATAGCTCCCATTTATATCTTCGTCCGATTTGCCTTTTTTTGTGCACCAAACGTGTAATATCAGCCCGAATAGTTTGCAATTACATACAACCATATTAGGCTTGAAAATAAGTATACCAAATTTGATCGAAATCGGTTCAGATATAGCTATAGCTCCCATATATATTGTTCATCTGATTTGTTATTTTAGTCCTCCGCAGCCGTAATATGCACTCTGTAACAACAGTATTTGGGGAAATATATCAAATAGAGCCCAGAAATACATGTGCCAAATTTTATCGAGATCGTTTCAGATTTGGATATAGCTCCCATACATAACTTCGTCCGATTTACCTTATATTGTGCACCAAACGTCTAATATTTGCCCGAATGGGGTGGCACTTAGGACTGAATTTAGTCTAGAAGCTAGTATGTCAAATTTGCTGAAGATCCGTTCAGATATAGCTATAGCTCCCATACATTCTGTTCATCCGATTTGTTATATTTGTTTCCCACAACCGTATTATGCACTCCGTAACAACGATATTCAGGGAAATATATCAAATACAGCTCTGAAATATCTTTGCCAAATTTTATCGAGATCGGTTCCGATTTGGATATAGCTCCCGTATATATCTTTATCCGATTTCAAATTAATTCTGCACCAAATGGACAATACAAGTCCGAATTGAAAAGATACAAATGCTTCGGCATATTTAGTCCTTTGAACTTTAAATTATAATTATAATCAAAGCGTGTATGATTGAATTCTCCCATTACAACTTTTAATTGTTATGTGGAACACTACTAAATTAGCATAGTGGTGTAGAGTATCATAGAGTCGGCCTCGCCCGACTTTAAGACATTCTTTACTGTTTTTTTTTTTTCTTCAAAAGGGTTGTAATATATAATTTGGGGTATTTAATCTATAAAGAACCTGTAAAATATCATATATAACTTTAACAAAAATATGTAAAAAAAAAAAAATTATAAAGAAGTCCAAAACAAGAACACCTAACTACATAAGTCTTGTAGAACACATTTTAATTTTCTTTGAATCGTGCATTCACGAAGCCCACATCTATTTATGATGGGACACACGAAATGTCCATTTTATCCGCATTTGTATTTCACATTTAATACACTCCATTTTGATGGCTAGACTGGTCATCAAAAATTATGTTTTGCAGTTGTCAGAGGCACGTCCATAACCTAAGCCTTTAATAACATTTGTAAAATACAAACTAAAACAAATTATGAACACTTGTAAAATGTTTGTGTGTGTTTCTGGAATACGGATGTAACATTTTGTAACATCCAAGCGACTATGTATCTGTGTGAGTTTATTATGTGTGGTGATAAAGACGAGTATATAAATGCCAAAGGAAGGATAAGAGTTGGGTTGACAAGCATATGGTTTTTTTAGGGAATAGAAAGTTTAAAAGACATTCTGTGTAACAAATTAGTCATGTCAAACATTTAGTCGGAAATATGAGAAATGAAAATTAGGAATGATATTTTGTAGATTTTCGTGGAATAAAAGTCATTGTTGTTAGGTCAAAAGGGTTTTGCCAGAAAGGGGTTAAAAATGTCTCCTGATGCAAAAAAGTTTAATTTTTTAGAAATAAAAAATTTGGCTCCAAAAGTGTGGGAAATATAAGTTCTGGTGACTTTCCGAAAAAGTGATTAAAATCTGACCTGAAGGCGGTCTTTTATAGACCACCTAAAGACGGTCTTTAGAGACCACGTGTTGGCAGTTTTTAGAGATAGAAATAAAATAATTTCTCCAAAAGTGTGGGAAATATAAGTTCTGATGACTTCCCGAAAAAGTGAACAAAATCGGAAGTTCAGAAAATAATTGTTCACAAAAAAGTCGTTCGTGTTCCACCTCAATCTCTCAAAATAATCATAATTCTAACTCTTCTCTTTAAATTCGCAATAAATTCCGATTTTTCTACAGAATTGTTTCGAAGTGACCCACTCGAATGTAAACAACATTACGAACAAATCCAAAATGAGATTTCTGTCATTCTCAACAAAGTGCTCGTCACTTTTAGTTAGTTTTCCTTTTCTTCTTTTCGTTTTGTTGCTATTCTTTCGCCTCCCGATAAAGCGGAGAAACAAAGTTAGTTAGTTGTCTGTTTTTATTTAAATTTAAATAGTTTACACAACAACTGGCATTCCTAGAAATGCAGAAGAGAAAGAAGAAGAGGTGTTTTCCCCCTTTTTCTTGTCCTTTGTTTTGCAGTGAAATTTGGTGAAATTTTCCTTAACACTTCGTAACTAGGTTGTAGTTACAATTTATGGGAAGGCTTAAGTGTGAGTTCCTGTATTGCCATTTATTCATGCCAAGGATAAACAAAGTGTAGACTAAACGTAAGCATGTAAATCTAGAGAAATGGGTAGTGTGCTTAACCCTCATATAGTTGGGAGAGTATTTTGAACTTCACATCGGTGGAGACAACCTGAGGTGGTCTCTATAGACCACCTGAAGCCGGCAGAATACTTCATTTCGGTGGAGACCACCTAAGGCGGCCCCAATAGACCACCAAAAGGCGTTCTTTATATACGACCTAAAGGCGGTCTTTATATACCACCTGAAGGTGGTCTCTATATAGACCAGCTGAAGGTGGTCTCTCTATAGACCAGCTGAAGGTGGTCTCTCTATAGACCAGCTGAAGGTGGTCTCTCTATAGACCAGCTGAAGGTGGTCTCTCTATAGACCAGCTGAAGGTGGTCTCTCTATAGACCAGCTGAAGGTGGTCTCTCTATAGACCAGCTGAAGGTGGTCTCTCTATAGACCAGCTGAAGGTGGTCTCTCTATAGACCAGCTGAAGGTGGTCTCTCTATAGACCAGCTGAAGGTGGTCTCTCTATAGACCAGCTGAAGGTGGTCTCTCTATAGACCAGCTGAAGGTGGTCTCTCTATAGACCAGCTGAAGGTGGTCTCTCTATAGACCAGCTGAAGGTGGTCTCTCTATAGACCAGCTCAGCTGAAGGTGGTCTCTCTATAGACCAGCTGAAGGTGGTCTCTCTATAGACCAGCTGAAGGTGGTCTCTCTATAGACCAGCTGAAGGTGGTCTCTCTATAGACCAGCTGAAGGTGGTCTCTCTATAGACCAGCTGAAGGTGGTCTCTCTATAGACCAGCTGAAGGTGGTCTCTATATAGACCAGCTGAAGGTGGTCTCTCTATAGACCAGCTGAAGGTGGTCTCTCTATAGACCAGCTGAAGGTGGTCTCTCTATAGACCAGCTGAAGGTGGTCTCTCTATAGACCAGCTGAAGGTGGTCTCTATAAAGACCACCGGTAGACGGTCTCTACAGACCAGCTGGAGGTGGTCTCTTTATAGACCACCGGTAGACGGTCTCTACAGACCACCTGAAGGCGGTCTCTATATAGACCACCTGAAGGCGGTCTCTATACAGAGCACCTGAAGGCGGTCTCTTTTAAGACCACCGAAAGGCGGTCTCTATAGACCACCGAAAGGCGGACTCTATAGACCACCGGAAGGCGGTCTCTATAGACCATCGGAGGGTGGTCTCCATAGACCGGCGGTGGTGGTCTCCATAAAGGCGGTCTCTATAGATCACCTGAAGGTCTCTAAATACCAACCACTTGAAGGCGGTCTTAGAGGCCACCTTGAAGGCGGTCTCTATAGACCGACCACCGGAAGACTGTTTATTGCAGACCACCTGAAGGTGGTCTCTATAGGTCTCTATATATCTCTTTATAGACGCCTTGAACAAAATTCCGTTTCCGTAATGAGGTTATTTATGATCTCCTTCGTGGATCCTATGTAATTCCATGGGTTAAAGTCCGCAGACGTGACCTTCATTACGGAAACTTAATTTGGAATTTTAAATGAAAGTAATTTTAATGGTTGCATCCCAGGTTCCTAGAGCTGAACACCATTCCATCCATTAGCGATTTCTTCATTTCATCTAAGCACGTCTGTTTGATTTTATTTATTTCCACTTGGCTTCTTTAATTTAATTTCGACTTCATTTCCTTTCTTTATATACTACTTTTCTCCCTCTCTATCTCTCTATTTATCTGTCTCTTTCTATCTGTAGATAATTTGAATATTTTATTTTGTTTTCAACATTTAGATCTGCAAACCCTTTTGGACTCCCACCTCTTGGTTTGCTTATAATCGATGGGTACTTCGTTCTAACTCTCAAAATTGTTCTTCTTCGTCGAGCAGTAACGTAAGTGGTTTCTGCTTGCCATTGCAGCTTTTTCGCCTCAACCAAATCCGCCACCAGCTTTGCCACAAAACGTTTGTCTTTGTGGCATGCTTAAGTTTTCCAGCAAAAAAGAAAGCAAAGCAACAAAAAATGCACCCAGCTCAAATTAAGTCACAAAATTTTTTTAGCAGCTCAAATTTAAAGCAAATTTTACGCAATTTTTTGTAGAGTTAGAAAATTCAATTTCTAATTTCCTTTTTTCAGAGGCTATTGAAAGAGAGAAGTTTTCTCGTAAAATTAGGAAAAAGGTTGTGGATTTTCGGCAAAATAAAATTAAAGTTTTGCATTTAATAACATTTTAATTTCCAACAATCGGGCTTTGCATGACTAAAATATATAAGTTTCATAGAAATATAACGAGATCATAACTTCGGATTCACCACACAAATTATGTGAGATTTATGAGTTTTGAAAATTCCTACAATTTATGCGAAAGAATCCGAGAAGTTTGTCAAACATACTAAAATGCTCAAAAAAAATTAAAATAAAACAAGTAAAAAAGCAGTAAGTTCGACCGGCCCGAACTTTGAATACTCTCCACCATTTGGAACGAATTAGAAAATTTTCAAAAAAAATAAAATATAAAATCATCAATATGGGGGGATATACGATATTGTGGACATATAAAGACAAATCTATGTCTGCGTGTAAAGTACTCACAGGGAACTCCTTGTGTGGATTTTCAAAATAACGAATATCGCGGGATATCGTTATATGGGAGCTATACGTTATCGTTAACCTATATAAAGTGCTCACAAAGAACCCCTTGTGTACAAAAAACCATTCCGTTGAAAAATATGGCTAAAAACATCAAAATACCGAATATCGTGGGTACCGTTATGTGAGGGCTTTACGATATCGTGTACCTATATAGATAATTCTCTGCCGAGGTATAAAGTACCCACAAGGAACTCCTTGTGTGGATTTTCAGATAATTCCGATGAAAAATGTGGCTAAAATCATAAAAATACCGAATATCGGGGGGTACCGTTATATGGGGGATATACGATATCGTGGACCTGTATAGACAATTCTCTCTCTGGGGGTGAAGTACTCACAAGGAACTACTTGTGGGGATTTTAAGACAATTCCATTGAAAAGTGTGGCTAACATCATCAAAATACCGAATATCGGGGAGTTTAGTTATATGGGGGATATACGATATCGTGGACATATATAGACAATTCTTTTTGAGGGAGTAAAATGCCCACATGGGACTCCTTTTGTGGAATTTCAGACAATTCCACTGAAAAATGTGGATAAAATCATCAAAATACCAAATATCGGGGGGTACCGTTATATGGGCGCTATACGATATGGTGGACCGATATAGCCCATCTTCGAACTTGACCTGCCTGCAGACAAAAGAGAGATCTGTGCAAAATTTTAGCTTCCTATCTTAATTCGTTTAGACTGTAGCGTGATTACAACAGACGGACAGACGGACAGACGGACAGACGGACAGACGGACGGACAGACAGATGGACAGACGGACGGACAGATGGACAGACGGACGGACAGGGCTAAATCGTCTTAGAATTTTATGCTGATCAAGAATATATATACTTTGTTGGGTCTAAAATGATTATTTCGATGAGTTACAAACGGAATGACGAACTTAATATACCCTCCATACTTTTTTTGGTGGAGGGTATAATAAAACAAAAAATGTACCAAGTCAGAGACATCATCGGCATATTGGGCTAATTCTGATTTTGCAAAAAATTGACAAATTTGGCAAATTTTCAAAAAAAAAAACCAGTGAGGAAAGCTCAAAAGTCGGGCGGGGCCGACTATATGATACCCTACACCACTATGCATATTTAGTAGAGCTCTCGTAAAAAGGTTTATACAGGGCATTTCAGAGCTCTATGAGATATTTGGTACAAAATCAAAATCTATCTAATTCTATCGTGCATTTTACGAACTATAGCTATCTCTGAACCGGGTTTCTCCAAATTTGACGTATTAGCTTCTAGACTGAATTCAGTCTTATGTACGAAAATTCATGCCATTGGGCTGATATTGGCCATTTGATGCACAATTAACACGAAATCGGATGAAGATATATACGGGAGCTATAGCTATATCTGAACCGATTTTTACTAAAATAAGCTGATTTCGGTCGGATTTGCCAAAATTGATGCTATTACGGCCATTTGGTGGTCAATCACCCGAAATCGGATGAAGATATATATGGGAGCTATATCCAAATCTGAACCGATTTCGGTAAAATTTAAAACTGCTATTCCTGTGCTCCATCTAATACCTGGTACCAAATATCACGGTTGTGGAGTGAATATTACGAATGTAAGGACTAAAACACTAAATCGGATGAAACATATATATGGTTGCTATATCTATATCTGAACCGATTTTCACTAAATTTGATATACTTGCTTCTAGGCTGAATTTGGTCCGATGTACTAAAATTCAGTCCATTTGGACTTATATCGGCCATTTGGTGCACAATTAACCCGAAATAGGATGAAGATATATATGGGAGCTATATCCAAATCTGAACCGATTTCGATAAAATTACAAACAGCTATTTCTGGGCTGTATCTTTTATCTGGTACCAAATATCATTCTTGTGGAGTGCATATTACGAAAGTGAGAGGCTTAAACACCAAATCGGATAAAACATATATATGGGAGCAATAGCTGTTTCTGAACCGATTTTTTCCAAATTTGTTGTATCTGCTTTAAGGCTAATCTCGGTCACATGTGCCAAAATTCGGGCCATTTGGGCTGATATTGGCCATTTGGTGGCCAATTAACCCGAAATCGGATGAAGGTATATATGGAAGCTATATCTAAATCTTAACCGATTTCGATAAAATTTAAAACAGCTATTTCTGTGCTCCATCTAATACCAGGTACCAAATATCACGGTTGTGGAGTGCATAGTAGGAATGTGAGGGACTTAAAGATCAAATCGGATGAAAGATGTATATGGGAGCTATAGCTATATCTGAACCGATTTCTCCAAATTTGATATACTTGCTTCTAGGCCGAACTCGGTTGGTTGTGCCAAAATTCAGGTAATTTAGACTGACATTTGGTGCACATTTAACCCTAAATCGTATGAAGATATATATGGGAGCTATATCTAAATTTGATCCGATTCTCACCAATTTCAATAGGGTTCGTCCTTGGGCCAAAAAAATGTTGTTTGGAAAATTTCATCTCAATCGGATAATAAATGCGACCTGCATTTTGTTCACAAGAATACATGGACAGACGGACGGACGGACAGACGGACTGACATGCATAAATCGACTCAGAAAGTGATTCTATGAAGGTTCTCAAAAGTAAGTATGGGTCTATCTCGTTTCCTTCTCCATGTTACAAACAAATGCACAAAGACATAATACCCTTACCACTATGTGATGTAGGGTATAAAAAAAAATAAATAAATAAATAAATAATAATAATAAATCCGTGAAATTAAGGCCTATATGACGACGTGGAACTGCATAGACAACTTTTGTCAAAAGCCATTGCAAAATTCAAATGGAAAACTTGAAAAAAAAATCGGTGAAAAATGTAGCTAAAATCATCAAAATACCGAATATAGGGAGGTACCATTATAGGGGGGGCTATACGAAGACGTAGACCTGCACAGACAATTTTCTGTCTTAGGCTGTTGTATCCATTAAGAACTTCAATAACCAAATATGAAAGAATTCCGGTAAATAATTTTTCTAAAATAATCAAAATTTGGAATATCGGGAGGTACCATTATATGGGGGCTAAACGAAGACGTGGACCTGCACAGACAATTTTCTGTCATAGACTGTAGTATGCATTACCGACTCCAAATACCAAATTTGAAACAACTCCGGTAAATAATTTTTCTAAAGTAACCAAAATTTCGAATATCGGGAGGTACCATTTTATGGGGCTATACCAAAACTTTGACCTACATGGACCATTTTCAACACCAAAAATCCTAAAGACATAATATACATTTCCGTAAAATTTTATCAACCTATTTCATTTCATTCGGAAGCTAGAGTGATTTCCACAGATGGACCGACGGATAGACGCAGAGACGGACAGACATTGCTAAATCGACATTGAATTTTATGCTGATAAGAGGTGTTTCAAACGGAATCACAAACTTAACATACCCTCCATACTATGGTGGAGGGTATAAAAAAATTGGACCAAGTCAGTGACATCATCAACATTTTGGCCGATTCATAATTTTTCAACATGTCGACAAATTGCGGAATGTGTACTCCATATTGAATCCTGATAAAACAATATAAGGACGTTTTAAATTTGGATACATACAGTTACACCATTTTCCCCTCATATAAGTTACACCATTTTATATTCATTTGATATTCTCAAAATTTTAACCGTTTGCTGTGGAGGACTTCTTAGTCAATTTCACACAGCAAAAAGGACTGCAAGTGAAAAAAATATCACACTTTCTGAAAGTTTTAATTTTTTATGCCCTCAGCCATATGGCTACAGAGGGTGTACAGGTTGAGATGAAAAAACTCCAACCAATTTCAGACTGCTGTCATTTCTAAGCCACTCGTCTGACAGCTGTTAAAATTATTCCTGTGACAGCTCATTATATTGTTTACAAATTTACAAAAGCATTTTGGTGGGAATTTTCCAGAAAAAATGTTCTTCGTGATGGAATTCATTTATATTTGGCTGGAAAACAACATGTGGCTAGCGTTAGAGCACTCCAGCATTTAAATGTGAATAAATCTTTTGTGTCTCGTTCCATCTCTCGTTACCGTGATACTGGTAGCGTAGTTCGATGTCAGGGAAATGGACGGAAGAAAACAGCAACATCAGCGGAAATGGTTCGAAAAGTAAAGAAGCGACTTGATCGAAACCCGCGTCGCAGTGGTCGAAAAATGACTCGTGAGCTGAACATATCGCAATATTCCATTCGGCAAATATTAAAAAGAGAGCTAGGGGTAAAGCCATTG